GAGGTCAGAAATTTGAAACCAGCCTGGCCAACATGGTGAAACCCCGTCTCTAACTAAAAAAAAATTCAAAAATAAGCTGGGCATAGTGGTGGGTGCCTGTAATCCCAGCTATTAGGGAAGATAAGGCAGGAGAATCGTTTGAACCCAAGAGGCAGAGGTTGCAGTGAGTAGAGATTGCGCCACTGCACTCCAGCCTGGGTGACAGGGCGAGACTCCATCTCAAACAAACAAATAAACAAAAAACACCTGGGTAAAGTAGGGTTAAGGGACTTGTTTGAAGGCAAACAGTGGCTACTGGATGTAATACCTTGTGTTACTCTTAATATCAGCACTAAAAGAGCTCTGTATGATGACAGAAACATTCTCCTCTATGCTTGATGATGAGGTAAGCTGTCAGCCTCATGTGGCTACATGAGACGTGACTGGTGACTGGTGCCAATGGAAACTGCCATTTGTAATTTTATTTAACGGTAAGACATTTAAATGTAAACAGCCATAAGGGGCTAGTGACTGCCATACTGGACAGGATAGGTCTAGGTAATTCAATAAACCTGCTTTAAGGGTTTGCAATTGGAGTGAACTCAAGGCCTTTGGAAAAAAACGAGGGATTGCAGGTATGACAGCACTAGACAACCGTGATATGAAGTTAGAATTGCAGACAGCTTCCTGAACGGTAAGGTATAGTAAAGAAAGGCTGATTCCATTTTCATGTCTTCAGCATTTCTTTTCTATTCTATATATCTAGATATATACCTCTAAAGAAAATGAAGTCCACATATACAAACTTTTTTCCTTTTTTTGCAATGAAAAAAGAAAAATCAATCAGTATATGTAATGTCTACAATTATTTACTTGATAAAATAAAACTTACCGTTTCCTTCACTAATAGTGCAACAAGTTCTTGATCTACCTCTGTAGCCTCTTGCCCCCAAATGTTTTCCAAATTGGGCTCTTGAGATTCTTGCATTGGAAAGGCTGGACCTGGCTCTTCATCATCAATTGCTAACTGTTGGTCTTCAAACTCTCCTAGAGGATGGGCAGACTGAGGAGAAGAGGGGCCTGAAACCCCACCTTGCTGGGGTTCTGGCCTTGGAAAAGCTGGCCCGGGGAATTCATGCTGAAACAACAAGCGGGCCAGCTCTGCTTCAGGCTGCCGTTCCTGAGGAACAACCTGGTTTGTTATCTCACGGGGCTGTTGGTTCAGAGACTGGAAGTAAGGATGATCTAGCCAGCAGTCTTCTTCGATGGCCTGATCATCTGCTAGAGCAGATGACTCTCCCAGATTTGATAACAGCTCTGTTTCTGAGTCTTCGGATGACTGGTTCTGAGTTTCCAAAGTATCGCTTTCTGTGTAAAGAAGGCTACCTTCTTCCAGGATGACGACTTTCTGCTCTGATCTGGGGCTGACAATGTCATTTGCTGCTTGGTTACGACTCGGTCCAGGCTTGGGTTCTCTATCTGTTTGGACACTTGGCTTAGTGAATTCAGAGGCTCCAGGAGGCCCAAGATCCAGAAATTCACCGTAGTCATCCTCAGAATCATCCTGTGCCCCAGAATCAAACAATGGGTTGTTATACACTGAAAAATAGCGGCTTTTATCTGATTCAAATGCTGCTCTAGACTTTTTAGGCCTTTCTTCTCCCAACCTTTTCAGATCTTGCCAGTGGGCAGCTGGTTTGATGAGATTGGGTCGTGATGTCTGAGGTTTATTTGTCTAAGAAAAAATGAAATTTTAATAATAATAATTCAATTTCTTTCCTACGCCTATCCCTCCTTATGTACTTATACTGAGCTTCCAAGATAGAATAGGAAAGAAACAAAAACACTCTCTCTTTAACAATACCTACCTATTCTTTACATTTATCTTAACATTTAGATTTGATCACACTGTATAGTATCTGTAAGAATCAAAGTAGCCATTCATAGATTAAAGCTTGAGATACAGTTTCAATTGTAATTTATTTTTATTTTACTTATTTTTATTTTCGAGACAGTTTCCCTTTGTCACCCAGGCTAGAGTGCAATTGTGTGATCTCAGCTCACTACAACCTCTGCCTCCTGGGCTCAAGTGACTCTTGTGCCTCAGCCTCCCGAGTAGCTGGATTACAGGTATGTGCCACCATGCCCAGCTAATTTTTGTGTTGCTTTTTCTTCCTTTTTTTTTGTTGTCCAGGCTGGAGTGCAGTGGAGCAATCTTGGCTCACCGCAACCTCCGCCTCCCCGATTCAAGTGATTCTCCTGCCTCACTCTCCAGAGTAGCTAAGACTAGAGAAGCGTGCCACCACACCCAGCTAATTTTTTGTATTTTTTTCACAGTGTTATCAAGGATGGTCTTGATCTCCTGACCTTGTGATCCGCCTGCCTTGGCCTCCCAGAGTGCTGGGATTATAGGTGTGGGCCACCGTGTCCGGCCTAATTTTTGTGTATTTAATAGACGCGGAGTTTTGCCATGTTGGCCATGCTAGTCTCAAACTCCCTGCCTCAAGTCATCTGCTTCCCTTGGCCTCCCAAAATGCTGGGATTACAGGTGTGAGCCACTGCACCCCGCCATGAATTATAATTTAACCTGAGACCACTAAAACAAAAATAACTCCACAGCAGAGAAAACAATGAAAGGCTGTTAACACATCAGAAGAAGAAGAAATGTTCAAAAAACATATAAAAATAATCTAAATCTCACTAAAAATTAAAACAAGACAGTATTTTTTTCCCTGTAATATTAGCAAACTTTCAAATTAGATAATACCAAGCATTGGTGAGGATGCATGTGAAAATCCTTCCCCCCCCCCCCCCATTTCTTGAGACAGACTTACTCTGTCACTCAGGCTGAAGTGCAATGGCGTGATCTCAGCTCACTACAACTTCCACCTCCCAGGTTCAAGCAATTCTCCTGCCTCAGCCTCCCAAGTAGCTGGGATTACAGGTGCCCACCTTCACATCCAACTAATTTTTGTATTTTCAGTAGAGACAGGTTTCGCCATGTTGTCTAGGCTGGTCTTGAACTCCTGGCCTCAGGTGATCAGCCCACCTCAGCCTCCCAAAGTGCTGGGATTACAGGTGTGAGCCACTGTGCTTGGCCGATGTGTAAAAACTCATACTATCACTTATTGCTGGTGAATTTAGGAGAGCAATTTGGCACTATTAAAATAAAAAATGTATATATCTGTCATCACTTTTTCATACTGTTCTATAAACCCTCATGTATCTAAATAGGACATATACAAGAATATTCAGCATAAACAGAACAAAACCTAGAGACACTTTCAAGTTTGTCCCTAACAGAATGGTTAAATAAACTATTACTTATTTGTTCTCAAAATACTCTATAACTGCCCCCACCAAAAAAAGAGGTAGCTCAATCTGTAATGAAATGGAAAGCTCACCAAGGAACGCCATTAAGTCAAGAAAAGTGAGTTACAAAATCATACATAGAATGATTTTATTTACTTAAAATATGTAAGACACAAAATCATTTCTAAAAGTATGTATATGTACACACATGCATATACCCATGAATACATACAAATTCAAAGGAAAGACCTGGAAGGATACATGCTACACTGGTAACAACAGTTCCTCTAGGAAGTCCCTGGAAGAAAGGAGATGGTGAATCTCAGGCTTTAATGAGAATCCCTGAAGACTATGCCACTGAAGTAAGGGGGGGCAAACTGGACCTGGACCACCTGGGAGCTGAATCCCAGCATTGAGAGTTTAACTCCCTGAATGTGAGGTGCTGTTGTTTTTACTCTTCTTCAAGAAACCAATTAAGGTCCTCTATAGAGAAACATAACATCACATAGAATCTCAAAATTTTCATATACAATGACTTACACTCAATCAAAAATAACTAAGCAAACAAGAACCTAAGGCAACAATAGAAAACCAAAACCAGAGAAGTAACAGACAACAGCAACAAGCCTACAGAGGTTTCACACAGTGAAGTTATCAACATGAATTCTAAAATAACAATTAGCATGTTTAGGGAAATCAAAGACTAGATTGAGAACTGTATCCAAGAAGTAGAAGATCAAATGCAAGTTCCAGAATGGAAAAATATAGTAAGACTGGATAGATATACAGCATTTTAGGTAAATACAGTTGAAGAGAGAAATTAGTGCATTGAAAGCCAGGTCAGAATAAAATAGCCAGAGTAAGGCATAGACGAAATGGAAAATTAGATAAGAGAACATGTCAAGAACAATAACGTCTTCAAAACATGTAAGTAGACTCTTGGAACAGAAGAAGCTGTTTCTTTGGTAGAGGAGGAGGAAGGAAAACAAGTGAGGGAAGGGAAGGAGGGAAGACAGATAATGGTTAGTTCAAATCAAGAAAAAAGGGGAAAAAACATAAGGAATCACAGATTAAGAGGAAGTAGAACAACAGTCTGTTTTAATTCTATAGAATATATTCAAAATCTCAAAGAATGCACTGGTTCTGTAAACTCTAAAAACAAAAAAACAAACCCTCAAAGAAATAAAGAAAACTTCTGGCCAGGCGTGGTGGCTCACACTGTAATCCCAGCACTCTGGGAGGCCAAGGCAGGCAGATCACTTGAGGTCAGGAGTTTGGCCAGCCTGACCAATATGGTGAAACCCTGTCTCTATTAAAAATACAAAATTAGCTGGGAGTGGTGGCACATGCCTGTAATCCCAGTTACTTGGGAGGCTGAGGCAGGAGAATCACTTGAATCTGGGAGGCAGAGGTTGCAGTGAGCCAAGACTGCACCACTGCACACTCCAGCCTGGGCAACAGAGTGAAACTCCATCTCAAAAAAAACCAAAAAACTTCTAAACTTCTTATGAAGTCAGAATGTTTATATATATAAAAAAATCTGTTAAGGATATCATTAAGTACACATGAACTTACAGGCCAATGTCACTTATGAGATCTATGGAGAAAATACTAATATTAGCAAATGGAATCCCCAGCAGCATGTTACCACTACAATGCCACAACCAAGGGGGAGTCTTTCCAAAGACACAGTAACTTACCAACTAACAGGTCAAGGAAGAAAAACAACATGACAATCTCTGTAAGATGCTGAAATAGAATGTAACAGAATTCTACATTCACTTCTGGGAAGAAAAAAAAAAAAAAAACCTTTAAAGTCGAAGTACATGACTAGTTACTTAACTAAAAAAATAGTACCTCAAGCAAAAAGGCACCATCACAGAAACATTAAAAGTACTCATGGGCTGGGCGCAGTGGCTCATTCCTGTAATCCCAGCACTTTGGGAGGTTGAGGCGAGCTGATCATGAGGTCAACAGATCGAGACCGTCCTGGCCAAGACGGTGAAACCCCATCTCTACTAAAAATACAAAAATGGCACACGCCTGTAGTCCCAGCTACTTGGGAGGCTGAGGCAGGAGAATTGTTTGAACTTGGGAGGTGGCGGTCACAGTGAGCCGAGATAGTGCCACTGTACTCCAGCTTGGCCGACTCACAGTGTAAGACTCTTGTCTCCAAAAAGAAAAAAACAAAACAAACCATATTCCCATTTATGTTGGTGGCCATTCTTGTTCTTCTCTATCAACACTATTAAATTTTTTGAGGAAGTACCATATATTTCTTGAGGAAAGAAGTATAAAAATTGGAAACACAGATCAGATGCAAGTTTTCAACAAATTTAAGAGTCAACTGAAAAATCACTACAGACAACAATGATAAGGCGATCAAGTCAAGGGCCGGGCATGGTGGCTCACGTCTGTGATTCCAACACTTTGGGAGTGTTGAGGTAGGTGGATCACTTGAAATCAGGAGTTCGAGACCAGCCTGACCAACATGCTGAAACTCCATCTCTACTAAAAATACAAAAATTAGCTGAGTATGGTGGTGCACGCTGTAATCCCAGCTACTCAGGAGGCTGAGGCAGGAGAATTGCTTGGACCCGTAAGGTTGCAGTGAGCTGAGATCGCGCCACTGCATTCCAGCTTGTGCGACAAAGCGAGACCGTCTTAAAAAAAAAAAGAAAAAATAAAGGGCAACAAGAAGACTTACTCTCCATTTTGGAATGAAGCATTGCCTGATGCTAGAATCACAATAAAGACAATTGAGATCCTTATGCTAAATTTGTTGTGATTTTGTCCTTTGACAGGTCTGGCAACCCAAATGGGACAGAGACTGTTGATGATCTTGAGGCAACTCAAGGAACACAGCAAAAAACACTAACTCGCTTTTTTGGGGAGTACTTTCCTCATGTTGCTGCAAGCGTTCGAGGTCATCAGGTCTGAGCTCTGCTCTTTTTAGCAACTGATCTCTGACTTTGAGGGTACTAAGTCAGGCAGCGTGTGAGAGAGCATTCGACTTTGCAGTATCTAGGATTAATCTGTGCTGTGGCAGGGCATGTGACTTTTGGGAATGTGGTGGCTCACAAATCACTGGCAAGAACTGTATTCTTTTGCTCATTCGTTGCAGAGGTCTTTATGGCTTGAGTCAAGCCCCCAAGATTATGGCCAGAAAGAAATGTGGGTGCAACTCCATTTGCTGCTAGCATACAGGGGTGCAGTTTTAAAGCTAACTGATACCACCTGTATTGAGTGCAGGAAGGGTATAAACTCAGGCTTTTGGAATCTGTGGTATGTGGATTCTTTCTCTTGCAGGCCAAGGTGAGGAAGGCCTCAGGTGTCTGACTCGGTCAGACGGAAACTGGAAGGTTATTGGCTACGTTGGGTATCTTGTAGCCAAAGCCATCTCAGTCCCGAGATACACAAGAA